GCCCGATGCGGGGCTCGATCCCAGGACCCTGGGATCATGACCTGAGCCGAAGGCAGACGCTTAACGACTGAGCCACCCAGGCGCCCCAAAACAGAACCTTTCTTTGCACAGACTCGAAGGAGTTGGGAGTATTTGGTGAGAAAAGGTGAATGTGTGGCTATATCCGCACATACACCCCTGCAGGGAGAGGGGTCCTGGGCTCCACATGGTCTTCACATCTGGGAGGAAGGCGGTGGCACATGGGCTGAGGTGAGGAGCTGTTTTCCATTCCCCCCAAAAGGAATAAGGAGAAATAAGTTTGGGTTTAAGAAGATTTTTTTCCTTGCGAAGGTGAAAAAGTACTTGAATACCTATCTCAAGGACACTGAAAAATTCCTGTCTCTGGAGGACAAGATTAACCAATGTTAAGTTCGAGATAATCTTGCAGTTCTACTTAGGAGGCAGAGGACAAACCAGATAAGCTCTATTGAACCTTGGATGGCAGGAATTGGGAGAGTAGAGGACTTTGTCATGTTGTCATCAGAGTTTCTAAATTCCTCCTTTGCTTGGTGCTAGGAGTGTCAGGGTGAGAGGTGGGCTGTGAAGGGGACAGCGAACAACCTGCCTTTCTAGGAGACAGTCCTAATCTCCTGTCCTGAGGGGACATCTATGGGGCTATATTACTGTAGAGCATCTTTGCATAGGGGTCACCTACCCTTGGCAGGTTGGGGGAAGGCAAAGGAAGTTGTAGGGTCAACTGTCCAGGGAACTCCACCCTATGGCCTGGTTTCTCTCCTTGGTGACCAGTCTTAGGGTACTCAATTTCTCATTGGAGAGTTAAGGGTGGTCTCTTGTCTGAGACACTTCAGCAGTATCAGCAGGAAAAAGGAAGCCGAGTCTGCGTGCACGAGACCCTGAAATAGCAGTGGCCAGCACTTATGGTGTCCCCCTTCCCACCCCTATTAACCTGGCTTATGGCAGAAACAGCAACTCTTCCACATTCCCATGCCCATCCCCACACCCCTCCCTCCCAGCTCTGGATCCAGCTAGCAAGGAAGGACTGAGTGACTACTCTCAGTGACCACCCTCAGTGACTACATGACCCTGTGCTAAGAACATGTGTTGTCTCATGCAATCCTTGCAACCATGACCTCCTGTGCAGGCAGGATCACAACCCCCATCTCACAGTGGGGTGGGGTGTGGAACTTTGCCAAGCACGTGCCACAATTAGAAAGTTGTGCAGAGATACACCCTCAGGCAACCTGGTTCTGGAGCCCACATTCCTTTGCCTCCAGGGCCATAAGCAGGCCTGACCAAGCAAAAGGAATACAGCCCAAACAAGTATCGTGACCCCATAGTACCACCTGTCTGGATGGTAGGGGTCTATCCCAGAGCTGAATATCACTGCCAAAGAGGGCACACTTGCCAAGGAGACTACTCCTTGGATCCCAGCTGGCTGCCCTGTGAGAGACTTTGGGGTGGGCAAGTGAACCGTCCCTCCCTTTCCCACCAGCATGACAGAAGGAAAGTGTCAAGACCTAGGAAAGGGTGTGGCCTGGATGGTCACTGCTCTCAGCTAAGTGTATGTGTGTTGAAAGGTATGGTAGGGCAGAGATCATGTTAACTCCAAAAGTGGAGCTTCTGAAAAAAATCCAAATATTTACTTTAGAAATTAGTTTTGTGGGGAGCGCCTGGAGGGCTCAGTCGGTTAAGTGTCCAACTCTTGATTTCGGCTCAGGTCATGATCTCAGGGTCCTGGGATCCAGCCCCTTGTCGGGCTCCCCACTCAGCAGGGAGTCCGCTTGTCTCCCATTCCCTCTACCCCTCCCCCCACCAAAATAAAGAAATAAATCTAAAAAAAAAAAGAAGAAATTAGTTTTTGGTTAAAAGATATAAAATACCCTAATCCATTGCGATCCCTGAGAATTCCTAAAAATATGAGTTGCAGAACTTCTCTACAACAAATCTCTAACCTATTCTAGATCACAGACATCTTTCCCCCTTCTCTGAATTTTTACTGCAATTGAATCCTTACTACAGAGCCTGTCTGTATAGCTTTTCTCCCCAGTTAGGCAGGAAACGTATCAAGGGGGTGGGGACCACAGACAATGCATTATATTCTCCCAACTCACAGCTTTACACTCTCCTCCCAAAGAGTTTTAAGATGTGAGCTGGCAGACTGAGGTAGAAGTGGATGAAGCCAGAAAAATCTTCCTGCGAGCAGCAGGGAGCCTCCAGCACAGTGTATGGTGTATGCACGGGCTGGAAAGAGAAGGAATCAGGAGACCTAGGCTCCACTCAGGGCCTGCCACCTTGGGTATGTCACTTGCCTGGCTCCTTTCCTTATCTGCTCTAGGAAAGTGATAATACTGGCCCTGCTTACCTCATGGATTTGTCACAAGGCTCAGATCAGATAGTATAGATGAAAGTGCTGTGTGTGATGTAACGAGCCTTGCTGGTGAAAATCACTGTGCCTCTGAGCTACCTACATTTCTTCTTCTTTTTTTTTAACACCAGCTAATTATTTAGAATCAATTCCTCCAAAGCACCCATGTAGGGAAGTAATGGGGGAAAAATAAAGGAGGGAAGGAAAGAAAGAGGGACAGGCAGGAGAATCGGAGATGTGGGCCGCCAGGAAGGCTGAAAGAGGCCATCCTGAGAGCAAGGCCCAGATGGCACTTACATAAGCAGATGGCAGCCAGGAGTCGAAGGCCAGACTCTGGGGGGAAGCAGGTGGGGAAGAGCGGCTGCAGCACATAGTTGGAGAAGGTGAGGGCGATAACAGCCTGGTTGGTGGGGTAGATCACCAGCACCGCAATCCACAGCCTCAGGAACCTGAAGAGGGAACAGGACAGAACTTGACCCAAGACAGCTGTGGAGACCCCCACCCCCGCCAACATGCATGGCAGGGATTCACAAGTCATGGAGGGAAGCCTGGGCATGTCACTGGGCAGCATTAGGAGAGGTGGGTGGGCTAAAGGGGTGAGTTTCCTTTTTGTTTTCTGGGATGCTGAGGAGCTCAGCTCCTGCTCAACCAGACAGCCGGCCCTCTGCAATGACAATAGAGTGGTCTGATGTTGAGGGGCAAAGTGTCTACTAGTTAATGAGCACACATCTTGGCATTCCTTCTCTCTCCCCTCTCCTTTTACCATCTCTTCTCTATGCTCTGAAACCCAGCATCCAGCGGTGGAAAATAAAATTGGCAACCCTGGAATTCTGACAGCCAGGACATGCTTAGGGTATGGCCGCTTAAGCAACTGCCAGGCGCAGCACTGAGTGGGGCTGTGAGGGGGAAGTGCCCTCCACACCCTTGGCCCCTCCGTGAGGCTCAGCTCCTCAGTAGCAGGGCCACAGACGCTGAGGAAACTCAAGATCAGGGCCTGGCCCTGCAGGAAGGTATCATCCTTGGTCATGTGAGAAGAGGGTACCCTGTTTCTTAGGTGGTCACTCTAATTTGTCAGGATTTTTTTGTGATATGCTTTCCCTGAGAGTCTATGATCAGAGTTGTCATACAGTTCTGTTTGCTGTCACCCACAGAATCTTGCCCACTGAGATCAACAGAGAGGTCAAAACTATAACCTGGTTCTTCTGCCACCCTCAGGAGAATCAAGGGGACACAGAGCTACACTAACAACCAAGACAGGGAGGCAAAAGAGGAATCCTATTCTCTAGCTCTCCTTGACACACTGGAAACCACTGGCCTTGGCTTCTAGATCACCCAGGCCTCCACAGATCCTCTTACCCAGCCAGTCCTCCAAAGATGTCCTTGACGTAGGAGTAATCACCTCCAGATTTGGGGATGGTGACCCCAAGCTCAGCGTAGCACAGGGCTCCCACAGCTGTGATGAGACCAGTCACAATCCAGACAATGAGAGCGAGGCCCACAGAGCCAGCGTTCTCCAGCACACCTTTCGGCGAGACGAAGATTCCAGAGCCAATGATGTTCCCTGCATGAGGCACCAAGGTTGCCGGGGGAGACAGTGGAGTCAGCACAATTGACAGGACCGGCATTCGCAGAAGTGGTCTCATCTCTGGTTTGATTCTAAAATGCCTTTGGAATGCATAAATCACCTTCAGGCAGGTATGTCTAGTAATAATTTACATGTTTCCTTTAGTCCTCAGGATACCCCTACAGAGTCAGGTATCATTTCTCCCATTTTACAGAAGAGGAAACTGAGTCTTAGTGATACCAAGTGCATTGCCCAAGTCCACATGGTGGTAAGTGGTAGCTTGGGTACTGAACCTCAAGACCCTCTTACTGGGCTATACCATGGTCCACCTGAGATAACAAAGGTCTTAAGACTAACTGGAAATGGCAGGACTGGAAAAGCAGGCTGTTCTCAGAGACAGTCTGCAGGGTAGAAAGCTTCAAAAGTGAGCCTAAGGGCAATACATTTTGGACAGATTGTGGTCATACCCCATGACTGGGGATTTTCAAGACCTATGAGCATCAATAGTACTCCTGGAGGCTGGCTTTCACCCCAGACAGGACAGCCCCTCCCTTAGTGAGGAACATGAAATAACCCTATAAAAACAGCCCTACAAAGTGGTTTGTAGAAGTGCAATATGTGCAAAGATTTAGCACTATATTCTTGCAAGGTCGTCCCCCTCCATTGGTTCATGTGACCCTCACAACAACCTTATGAAGTACAGGAAGAGGAGGAAGAACAGGTATTTATCTCTCTATTTTGCAAAGAGGCTAAGACGCAGAGGGGTTAAGTGCCTTTTCCAAATTCCACGGCTACTGATGGGTAAAATTGGATCTAGAAGTTGATCTCCTGATGCTTAATCCGGCGCGCTTTCCACTAATCTATTTCTGCTTCCGTGTGCAAGAGGCTGGCTTTCTCCTGAGAGATGAGGCTGGCAGCAAGGACTGAATGGTTGGCTATTGGGGTGTGTCTGTTGGGCAGGGGAGGAGTAAGAGGGTGGGGGCAGCTCCTGACATGCTCCTTCCCAAGCTTTCCTCTACTTCTTGTGATTCAAGGTGGTGATCAGGGTGCACCACACAGGTGCTTTGAAAGCTCTCTCCTTAAGCCCCACCCAGCTGTTCTACTAAAAGTCTGAGGGAAGAAGCAGAGACTAAGTGGATCCAGGTAGAAGTGCAGAACGGGAGTATGAAGCCAGCTTGGTCTGACAGTGTTCTGAGGACATCTCAAATTCCCACTGCCTCTCTTAAAGAGTCTGGAACCAGATCTGGGCTAAACAAGATGCAGAGTATAGGATTTTACACTCAACTTTCAAAAATGACTTTCAGATCTCAACCATAACTCAACCTCAATCCAGTCCTGAAACTTTCACTTCTAAATCAAAATTCATTTTTTAATCCCAGGCCATGCATCAGTTATTTCGGTCAAAGGGGACAAGAAGAGAAGATTCACATTCTAAAAGCAATACATTTTATTCTTCTGGGATACAGAATAAGCTTTTCACACTAAAAAACTGCAGCGTGAGATGACGAATGGGAAAGGGAAGGGGTCTAGGCAGGTGGAAGAGCAGCAACCGTGAGACTGACATATAGAATCGGCAGCTGGATGCAACTGGAAAGGAAGCATATCTGTCTTAAACTTGCCTTCCTTCTATGCAGATAGTCTATCCCAACAGAACTGGGCTGCCTACAGAGATGAAGCTAAAAGAAGAAACAATCCCTCATGTTCAACTTTGTGATCTAAACATTAGGCAAAGAGAGATAGAAAAATGAGATTCTGGGCCCCACCAGTTCTTAAAGGCTTTTCCTTTTCTTGTACATTTGTTTAAAGTCCTGTGATAGGAACAAGAGGATATCTTTCAGCCCCCCTCTCTCCTCCACCAGCCTCCATGTCTGCTTTGCATGAAGGCTGGGCTAGTGGAGACTAGGAGGCCTTCAGGTAGTGTGCCTGGTCTCAGGACACAGTTACCCTGGCAGGTGACCCTTAACCTGCCAAGCGAAATGTGCTGCTGTCCCCTGGAAGATACCAAGTGCCAGAAGCTGAGAACTGGAGACAGGGTTGTTAACAGTGCGAAAGGTGATAGTAAACTCCTTGTCTAGCTGGAATTTATCAGAAAAGTAATTTGCAGGGCATTTCAAAGGCAGCCACGAAAAGAGTAACACACCTAGATTATAAAACTAGTTCAAGGGATTAGAAAAACAATCAGTACAGGAGAAAAACAAGGTTTGACTTTGGTCTGCAAGGTACTGAAAAGGGAGTGGTGGGGGACCCACCTGAGGTGTGTCTCAGAGCCAGGAATGGCTGTCACAGGGAGGAAGTAAGGGTGAATATTATTGAAGAGATCCTGTCTTCTCAGGAATGAAGTGTCAATGTTCCACTAAGGATTCTTGGAAAACAAATACCACAGTGGGGATCACGAAGCACTTATGTTCTCCAGCTTTTGTTCTGGCATTTCCAGAGTGTGTGTCCCTTTCCTCATTCCAGGTGGAGGCAGCCGCTGGAAGATGGGATGTGCAACACCAACAGCCATTTGCAGGTCTGATCACTTACTGCCTCCCCTTATTCTCGATATGTCCTTCCATAGAGCTGCTGGAGTGATGGTAAGGTTTGTAATAGGTTGACATTGGGACAAGAATCTTCATTTTATAAAAACTGGATTCTACCCTTCGCCCTACAATCTTAATTTTGACCAAACTAAAATTACAAAGATAAAAGCTAAAGAAAAAAAAAAAAAGAATTATGCTAGCCAAAACAGAGTGCTAGAGACCAGGAAGGAGAGGAATGTGTCTCTCTGATTCTAGGAAGCCACTACCTAGAAAACCAGAATCAGATAACATTTCTTCCACTTTAGCGGCCTCTGGAGCTTCTGCAGGGGGAGGAATGTCACACATAGCTGAAAGAACTTTCACATTACATTTACTCAAAAGTAATGCCTACTATCTACAATCTTAGTGTGATTATTTGGTTAATATTTCTCTCTCCCACTGGACTATAAGATTCATGACAGCAGGGGCTCTATTGCTTCCCTTCACCTATAAAGTGTCACACAGTAGACACTCCATAAATGTTTACTGAATGATGTCAGACATCCATCTAGAACTTATCTCCACAGAGCAATATATGTGTTTTTTTGGAACCTTAAATCCTGTGAAGTATATCAAGTATGTTTTGCAGGCAAATGAATAAAACAACCCACTTATTTCACTGCTGAAGAGTGATCTGGCTATTATTACCATCTCCAATTTTTTTTTAAACAGATTTTTTTTTTTAAGATTTTATTTATTTATTTGACAGGGAGAGACACAGCAAGAGAGGAAACACAAGCAGGGGGAGCGGGAGAGAGAGAAGCAGGCTTCCTGCGGAGCAGGGAGCCTGATGCGGGGCTCGATCCCAGGACGCTGGGATCATGACGTGAGCCGAAGGCAGACGCTTAATGACTGAGCCACCCAGGTGCCCCCCATCTCCAATTTTTTAAAAAGTTTTTTTATTTGAGAGAGAGAGAAAGTATGAGCGGGGGGCGGGGGATGTGGGCCGAGGAGCGGAGGGATAAGCAGACTCCCCAGGGAGTGGGGAGCCCAACGTGGGGCTCGATCCCAGGACCCTGAGATCGTGACTTGAGCCAAAGTCAATCGCTTAACCAACTAAGCCACCCAGGTGCCCCTACCATCTCCAATTTATAGGGGAAGAAAATAGGGGAACTATTATCTCAATTTTCCAAATGGGAAAAAATGAGGGAGGTATTATTATTCCTATCTTATGGATGAAGAAACTGAGACACAGAGAGGTAGTTATTTGCCTAAACCACAAAGTAAGTTAGTAGTAACTGGATTAGAACCTAAATCTTCGGTCGTAGCCTCAAACTTTTCCCAGGGAATAGTTAGCTTTACTAAGATGATGCTTATTATGAGAAGATGCTTATTAAGGAACTGGAACACAGATCTGATTCCTTCCTTCCACCGTACCACCTTCAATGGTGATTTACAAAGTGTTCACATTTGTTACTTTATTTGATTCTCAGAAATACTTTCTTAGGTGCACAGGGCAGGTATAAACATTCCTATTTACCTTCACTAAGACTGAGTTTTAGAGAGGTGAGGAGACTTGACCAAAGTCACATATTGCATGGGCAGCAAGGCCTGGACTAGAGGCCAAGTCCTTGGACTCCCGGTCTGGGTTTTCTCCACTACTCCACATGGCCTCTCCTCTAGAAATTGCACAACAGGACTTTTACACTTGGGACTCTGTCCAAATGAGGTTTTTCTGGAGTGGCTTTGAAAAAGGAGAAGTGGAAAAGGTCTTTTCTATCTTGACTACGAACCTTTCTTGAGAGGTTGGAAGAAAGTTGATTACTGTGGGGATGTTTTTCTCCATTGTTTTACTCTTAGACTCTGTCTATAAAACCATTCAAGAATGAGATGCCCATCCATCTGGTATAGCCAGGGTTTTAATCCTGTCGTCAACTCCAATTAGTAAAATAATCATCTTATCACATAGATCTTTGGTAAAAAAGGAGTCCTAGGATGCCTGGACAATGAGGCCCAGCTTGGCTTCTTCTGTCAAAGAAAAGCCAAGCAAAGCACTCCATTAAAAAAGGGGCCAAGTTGTATCCATGGGCAAGTCTTCACTAGGAAAATGTTGGAATTAAGAAAATCCATGTTTGCCATGAGTAACTACTGACTTCCCCACTTGTGGGCCAATATCCATGTGACTCATATTAAGGCCTTACTCACATCCAGGCCTGTCCACACTAGAATGTTGTAGGCATCACAGAATTCCCTAGGGCATGGATTTACAGACTTCTAATGCCCAAAAGACCCGCAGATACAAAGTTTTGGCCTTCCTTAATAACTCATGTTAGTCTTAGAGTCTAGTCAGATCTCCTCCTAGGGCTTGGAGGTTCTGTCCATTTCCATGATGTTTAGAGAAAGCCAAGGTGAACTTTCTTTCTTTTCTTTTTTTTTTTTTAGATTTTATTTATTTATTTGAGAGAGAGAGAGAGCAAGCACATGAGCCGGGGGAGGGGGGGAGGGAGAAGCAGACTTCCCGCTGAGCAGGAAGCCCGATGTGGGGCTCAATCCCAAGACC